AGAGGGATGCTAGAGGTTTGAAGTTTCCCAACCTTAATAACTTAACTCGGGTATTGCAATGATAGTCAGTGACAATGGCTATCCATTGGGCCTAAGAAAAATTACAAACTCAACATTTATTGTCATTCCACTTCTTGTGATTTTTTCTAGTCCCTGATCTACTTTTTCCTATGATCACTTTAGCTACCTAAAACCCTGTATCACACCCAGGTTTGTTCTCTCACATCACGACTGTTCCTTGTTTATTACTTTATAGAGTATTAGTCCTTGCCTACCTGCCCCTCTCAGCAACAGGCAATAGATACATACTTCTGAGCTTCAAACTGCAGACTCAGACCCAGTGGTTTAAGAAATGAGTCACTCTTGTTCCAGACAGGCAACAGGAAAGTATGACCCATCATCTGAAGGATCAGAAATATAGTTGTCTTGGTGCTTTAAGCCTAGTTGTCTAGTATGTCTGGGCAATCCCTGTGGCTTTCCCTTAACAATCTCAGGCTTTGGTAAATCCACATAAAAGACTTTCTGTATAAGGTTTCTGATTACCACTTAAATTTCCTCTGTCCCAAATCTAGACCTTATTGCAAACGCATACCTCTCCACACTCTAACGCCAAATTTATTACAACAAAAAAGTCTAAATTTAAATATATTTACACTGTTGGCTACCCACTTCAGCAGTCAGGCCTACAGCTGAATCACTTAGTCTCCCTAGCACTCCATCCCAAAGCCCAGCATTCCTAGAAGTAATCCAGCGTGCCTACAAGTAATTTCTCATGCAAATGATGAAATGAATTCATATTAAAGTGAGGATGAGATTTAATTCTCAAAAAACTATGTTTCTATCTTTAACACAAATACATTCCTAATTTTTGTATATAGTTGTCTATTTTTTTCCTGATGAGGGTAGACTATGAACTCTGATTCTCTTTGTCAACCCTACCATTTTCCCTCCCTGTTATTGTCACTGAACAGCAAATGAATTAAACGAATGAACATTATGAGTTATACATCACAACTCCTACCCCATCTGTCCCAACCATACTCCAAAGACCACACCTCATGGGGCTCACTGAAGTAAAAACACTGCCAGGGACAAAGTACATCAGGAATCTCTGAGGCTTCAGACAAGAATCCCTCCTTTTAGTGATAATGTACGCCCAGAAATATTTATACCTTTCTTTAGTTTTGAGAAAAGGGATCAGAAATTAAAATGCTGCTGGTTTGAATACAGATTCAGAGGAGAAAAATATTATGCAACAAATCTAACAAAAGTCAGAGCAAGACTTTTAATTTTAGGAATCTAGGTTTAAAGAAAATACAAACTATGAACAATGGAATCTTCTTAATGTTCCCTCTTTCTGTGTGAGCCAAAGACATAGTCATTATCCATTAATGAAATGAACAATAAACAGAGTATATAATTCAATCAGATTCTTTTCTGACTGTCCCAAGTGACTACATTAGAATACACTGTATCTGGAAGGTGAGTCTATAAATCCCCACTTAGGCAGTCAATGTAACATGTTAATTCAGACATTTTAATAAAAATATCAAATATACCCTGGCCAGCGTTGCTCAGTGGTTAGAACATCAGCCTGCACATCAGAGGTCATGGGTTCAATCCCGGGTCAAGGGCACATACCTGGGTTGCAGGTTTGATCCCCACCCAAGGTCGGGGTGTGTGCAGGAGGCAACCAATTGATGTCTCTCTCCCTCTCTCCTTCCCTTTCTCTCTCTCTCCCCCCTTCCTCTCTCTCTAAGAATCAAAAGAAAAAATATCCCCACTCCTTGGGTGAGGATTAAAAAAAAAATCAAATATAAGTCTGTTAACATGAGCTGGAACTATTAACAAAAGATACTAACCCTCCTACCAATGTTTGCTGATCAGTAGAGACAGAGGGGCTATGGAAGTTTTATCTAGACAATAATAATCCCTTTGTTCTTGTACCAAGATCTCAGAGGGTTAAAAGAGGTCATGCCAACATCCTTTTCTATATAAATTACCAACTTAAGTCTCTGGGTATCCCCTACCATGGCTTTAGGAGATTAAGTGTGATCGACAGAGACTCATCAACAGTTGCAGTTCTGGGAGCTCACTAATGGCCTAGCTATGCTCTCTACCCTCCTTAGGCAGTTTTAGAGGTTCAAACATCACAGGAAACTGCTTCACATGCCAATGGTTGCCACGCCCTGCTCTACAGCATACTTCCCTGCCTATTAGAAGTATCAGACAAACCTCCATATGTCTAGCCATTGTCAACAAAGAAACAGGCCAGCTGGGAAAAGAGCCAAAAATCTTTGTTTGGAAAGTTTTCAAGGTAGGCAGACACTCTGGTTTAGCCTTTAATAAAATATGTTTGGAGTAAAGTAAATAATAAATTAAGTGTAATAGTAACCAAAGGACTATTAATGTTATTGGATTTGTGATATCTTTTAATAACATTATTATTATTACATCTTCTAAAACCCAAAGCACAGGAGACCAAAGTTTAAAGCTGGATCGGCTTCAACATTCTCAATCCATCTCCTCCTTTTTTGCTCTTGTCCATCCTCCTCCCACAACATAGATCCACTCCCTATCAAGTGCCTCTGAAGATAACCAAACGCAACACCCAAATACTGGCTGTCCTCAGCTTAAAGCACTTCATACTCCATTTTCCTGCCATTGCCAGCCTTCGGTCATGCTAGTGTCCTCTCTGGCTATAGCACTATGCTCTTCAAAATACTGAGTAGTTGCCTAAATTCTTTTGTCCCTATTTTAAATAGTGTTAAGACCTGAAAAACAGTTACCAACCTGAACATACTACCCCCTTCAATACAAAAGCCATATTCCTAAGCTACCACACAGAATCCAAGTTCTAGCAGCAATGATGGTTTTATTTCTATTTTTTTTTAATCCTCACCCGAGGATAATTTTTTCATTGCTTTTCAGAGAGAATGGGAGAGAGAGAGAAACATCAATGAGAGAGAAACATCAATGTGAGAGAGGCACATCAATTGGTTGCCTCCTGCACGCGCCACAACCAGGGCTGTGGATTGAGCCTGCAACAGAGGTACATGCCCTTGACCAGAATCTAACCCAAGGCCCTTCAGTCCACGGGCTGACACTCTAACCACTGAGCCAAACAGCTAGGGCAGCAATGATGTTTTGAAAGCATCTGGAGGCCATCCTAAAAAGGAAGAGAACTCTAATCCTGCCCTATCACCTCCATCCATTCAGTGAATATTTAACAAGTCCTACCACGTGTAAAAGGTTCTGTGTGCCATGTCCTTCTTTTGTAGGAAGCTGTTCTTTCTCTGTGTACCTGTGTTCTCTACCCCCTCAGGTATTCCCTTTCCCAACTCCTATAAACACTGCTTCCTTTCTCAGACTAAGACCGCCTTTCAATGCTTGGATGCTTAATTACTTCTCTATATTCACCCAACTTCCCCCACTATTGGTATTTCTGAACCCAAATTGATTCTAAATTCTCTGCTGAACAGTGTTTTTCCTAATTATGGACTGACAGCCATTTTTAGTTACCACACTCACTTCTGAAATACATTTAAGTTTCTGTATTACCTTTGAGCAGTGGTCCTCATTCTGTGTGCATCAGAATCACTTGAAAAACTTATAAATAGACACGTACTGCTGGGCTAAAGAGTGTGCATTTCTAACAAGTTTCCAAGTGAGGCTCATGCTGCTGGTCCAAGGACCATACTATGGGAGCCATCACCTTTGAGACTCTGATGAAAGCTATGAAAAACTATAAATACATATAAAAATTTTCCTGCAATTTCAAGGGGTTCATGAATGCCCATTCATAGATATTTCCTGCTCTATATTTCTTTCTAAGGAATGTTTAAGACACAATGTTTCCTGATTTGACCATAAGTACTAACTATGGTATCAGTAGGTGTGCATGCAAACACCTCCTAAGAGTGAGGAGAAATTGCTTGGTATTGGAAAGTCAGTTCTGTCCAATTGGCTGATCTCTTCAGTATCATGTGTCTCTTTCACATGCATGTAATCATTTTTCTGTACTTCTGGTTTAACTCTCAGAAACAAGAGTCATCACTTAGTATTTAAAAGGTTCTTTTTAATCACTCAAACAGAACTCTATTTTATAGGTGAGGAAGTGGTCTGGTAGAAAGAACATAAACACTGGATTAAGACAGAATTAGACAGTAATCCTGACTCAGCCTTTACTAAAGGAATGATCACTAAGCTTCAATTTCCTCATTTGTAAAATTGGGGATTTTATAGGGAAATCATTTTTTCCATTTCAGGCAAAGGTTATGTGAACCCACTATAAGGAATGAAAGAGGAGTGGTTTGTATTTATGGTAAGGAATTTAAATGTCGACTGTCTAAATTAAGAAAATGAAAAGACTGAACTAAATAATTTGTAAGATGCCTTCGAAAAATCTAACATTTTGTATTCAAGAACTCTAATTAGCCAGCATGTCATTATTCACTTATATTTTCTATACAGACTCAACAATCATTTATTCTTTAATTTAACTCAGCATAAACTCCTTAAAAAATAATCATACCTTCCTTTATTTTACTCTTCCCTTCTCTAATTCTTTTGCTCTATAGGTCTAAAAACATCTGGACATCTACCGGAAAAATAAGTATGAACAATAATAAACTATTCTCCTTCCCTCAAATAGGCCTGTGTAAAATACATCTTGTCAACACAGAAAAGCCCCTTTGAAGAAGTTTCCCTCTGTACTTCCTCAACAGATAGGCAATATTGTTAAATTCATTTTTAATCTATTCACTTAAGATCACTCAGGACTTGGCTATTATAGATATTGCTCAATTCTGCAATATCTTTTTCAAAGATCTACCAGGTATTTTTTTCTCAACCTAAAATCCTGTAAGTTTATTGCAGGAACCCTTACACTGGATATAAAAGAGTGAATGTGCACAAATGTCTATAAAATTGCCCCCCAAATCCCAAGTTGTATGAATCTACAAATTATCTAAGCATCAAGCAATTTCCACCAAACATACCTCTTGTAGAAGACGTGGATCCAGGCAGTCACCATCATCATTAAACATGGACTCCCAGCTCTCCTCAGTAGCAGCACTTTCCTCCATGTGAGAAGTTTCCGTTGCTTTTGGTTCCATAGATGTCTCTACAGAAACTGGTTCTACATCAGGAAAGGATATACCAAATTCTATATTCTCTGAGTCATCTTCCTCTTCTGTTTTGAACTCTTCAGCAGTTTTGGGTTCATGCAATGCCTCTGTTATATCACCAGTACAATCTAAATCATTGCCTAAGGCACTATCTGAAAGTACTTTTGTCCCATTTAACATACTGAATTCAGAGTCCAAAGAGGTGGTACAATTAGTACCAGGAATCTTCTTTACAGGCAAGGACGAGGCACAATCTGAGGAGCTCTCTATCAACTTTCCTGTTGACTCTATGAAACTAGATGAAATACTCTCAGCATAAATATCTGAGCAAGCAGTGAGGTTGCTGAAATTTTCAGTGTCATTCCTACTTCTAGCTACATAAAAAGGGACTGTATCTGTACTCATTTCTAAATATTTTGAGAAACTACTTGTGTTGCTATAGGCCTCATCAGTTATTCTAACTCCAACAACACAAGGGCTCTCTATAGTTATTTGATCAGACGTGGTATCTGTATTATCCACCACACATGCCTTATTTGTAATGTCACCTACAGTCTTAAATCCATTATCTGTATTTGTTTCATGAGCAAGAGCAGCTGTATCAAAAGGTTCATACTTTACACACAACTCATCAGCAGTGCTGTCATCCTCCTCATACTCTCTAATCACTGTTGGATCAAAAATGCCATCGGTGCTCTCTAGTTTGTTGACTGAAGTCATTTTATGAGAGCTGTGACCCACTGTCTTAGGAATGGAATCTATACCTTTTTGACCCGAGGTGAAATCTGTACCGGTGGCTGTGTCATCAACATTCTCAGCTTCAAAGTCTACAAAAGTTTGATCAGTGACTCCACCTGGACTTCCAGGAACAGGAATAGTGGTAATGCCTCCACTGCTGAGCTTCAACATTCCACCTGATGTTTGCATGCCTTGTTGCACAATTCCAGAATCAGAGCTTAGTTTTACTGGTGCAATCATACTCTCAGGTCTCAAAACAGAACTTAAAACTCCAGAAAACCGATATTGTAGCTCTTCAACCTTGGCATCCATTTCAATTCTGCTTTCTAAATCTCTGTCTTCAAATGTTTCCCTACTTAGTGCAAGCCTACTGAAATCACAGAATTCCACATTTTGGAATGATTTGTTTATAACTGGAGTCTCACCAGTTTCTGAACAAGACTGAGATAGAAGCAACCTCTCGTGTCCTGTCACATCTGTGGTTTCAACCTCCAAACATTCCACCTTCTTTGGTTTAAAATGTCTTTGTAAAGGTACAGTAGGTATAACCCCAGAAATTGGGATTCCTTGCTGATGCCCTTGGGATAGTATTTCTTTGGATTCTGTGACTCCCCTCTTAGTACTAACCCTATCTTCATTGTTTTCTTGAAGGTATGTATCTTTTCTTAATTTTGTTGAAGATTTCTTTCCTTCCCCACGATTGTGCTCCTTTTTATCAGGACAAATATTTAGTCTTTGAGTCTTAGCTTTTTCTCTGAAGATCTCCTTTTGGGAGAGACAATCTTCTTTTTGTTCTTCTACCACAGCGTTAGGTGGATCATGGGTCTTTCCCTCATCCCCTGCCTTGAGGAGTACCACACCCCTTCGAGCTTTAGGCACATAAAGTGGCATGTCAGGCCTTCTGGCTCGAACTCTGCATCTCACTGCTTCTTGCTGCATGGCACCACCTCAATCTGCAAGAAAAAGAGAGAATGATTTAATTACCAAAACCTAATTACAATGTATTGAACCAAGAGATTTTATAGAGTAAGTAGAGGGCCTACTAATCCATCCTATAGAAACCCTCAAGTTAAAAGAAAACCTGCCATAAAATAATTAAAGCAATCAGGTAAGCAACTAATAAAAGTAAATTCAAAAAAAATTCATGAGCCCATAAATTTTATCCATATATCCTCTTTCTTCATATTCCCCAAATCCTTTACCTCTGCCTCCCAAGTGCTCTCTGCTTTTTAAACAAGTAGCCTTGTCTTAGGCTGAATTAAAACAGATTATTAGAACAGTGATTTTCACCTATCAAGTACTCATAAAACACAACCGTCTCCATATCCTAGGAGGTTATAATTTACACTGAAGAGTATACTGAAGGACACCTAAAAACACACTGGCTCAAAAAATATATGTGTGTGTATGTGTATAATTTTTAAACAGTAATAACCTGAATGAGAATAACTTGAATATGGGCTAGAAAATAAGACTAATCAGGGACTGGTTTTGAACTATGATTTTTAGAAAGAAAGAGGTAGTGGGAGAGAGAAAGCCATTACTCTGTTAACACTATTTAATCAAGTGATCGACTATATATTGTTCTTCCTTCCAGCAGCAATAAAACAGGTCTGGCTAGAATGAAGGAGGGTGGAGGCCAAGGAATGTGATGAGACAACTCACACTAGTAACTTCCTGACAACCTCCACCATGGTTGCTCAATAAAATTTAAAAAGGGGAAAAATTTAACAAAGGTTAAATAAACCTTTACCTACCTGCAAAATATAAAGAAATGTGCTAGACAATTTCATATTGAGTTATTCTTTTAATATTCAAAAAAAGTGAAGTCGGGGCTAGGTTGTCCAGAGCAAAGAGAATAAGGAGGTGCTATACAGAGCAAAAAACCAGCCATACACACTCCAAAGTACCCACTGTTAATATTTCACTACATGCATTTCAAAGGAAGGAGATAATATAAAGAAAAGAATGGCCCACAAATCCTGTCCACTCTGTTCTAGATCCCTAAAACTTCATCTGATTCATATTGTCTCCTCAGTAAAGGAGCTCTGCCCTCATGACACAGGCTATTTTCTTTTCAGTCCAGATGTATACCATGATCCTGATCAAGTGTCCTGAGTGATCTTCTTGTCCCTTTTCTCTTCGGATGTCTTAATTATCCAGCCTACCAATCTTCATGGATTATCTATCTTTGCATTTGTGGAAAAATATGACTTTAACACCGAACCACACCAGGATCTTTTTTAAATGCCTACTTTTCAAAGAAAGTACAGATGTTTATCCCATTGGAGGATATGCCATAGACATAGCATTATCTTGATCTCAGCAAAGCATTTGACGAAACACATTACGATGAACTTCTGTATATAAGATGGTAAAATGTGAGCTGCTTAACAGAACTGGTAGGTAGACTCATAACAAAAAGTAATGATAATGGGTAGAAGTAAATTTAGAAAAATTTACTTAAAGGAGAACTATGTCCCCATAGCCCTTTGAAATTCAACATTTTAAACAATAATTTCAGTGTAACCAATAGACATTGAGTGCTCATCAAATCTGCAACTGACACAAAATAAAAAGGATTAATAAATACTGAAAATTTATAAAATTATAATTTAATATCATTTCTATAATCTAGACTGCTGTGCTGAAAGTAATACAAAAACATAATAAATAACAAGATCTGCTTTGGATTTAAAAGAATCTAACAGAAGATTTGACTTGTGTGAATTTTAAGTATCTATTACACTTTTATAAATGTCATTTAGTTAATAATGATAAGCCATATAATTTAAATTTTAATAATAGCTGTATCAGTTTGCAAAATTCCTAAAATTTTAGCAATCACCTCTCAGTCCAGTAGGAGATGTTCCACTACACCACTGGCTGTGACAATCCTCTCATAATAATACAGACACACAAAAAAGGTGCATCCCCATTTTGTGCACTTTCAAGATAATACCAATTCAATTTAAAGCCTTGCTGTGTTTTTATAAATTTCTTTTACAAATGTAGGCATGAAAGGCCTTTAACATTGGGATAAGGGGTGGCTGTCATGGAATTTTGAAAATGTGTCTTGGATTAAAAATTTCCCACCCAGGTATTTACTGAAAGTACCTGATCTTTTCTTTCTCTCTTTTAAAACAGTTTTAACTTTCCCACAATGTTCTACGTGGTTTTATCAGTTCTATTTGCTTCTGATCTGAAAGGGGAGAATTAGTTAGGGTGTATTTTGCAGCTAATTTATCCTGAATTAACCATCAACATGTAATTCTGTTCAAAATTACATTTTCTAAAGGGGATAAAAATGCAGATTACTTCATGATGGTGGGCAGTTAATTGCTAACATACACCTTAAAATATTTTAGGCCAAATCATTTTTTCTAACTATACTTTTGAACACTGAAATCATACATGAGCACCTGTCCAATTGCTTCTACAGTTTCAAATTCTCCTTGAGAGAAAATATCAGTAACTTCCTTTAAGTAAGTATCTCTCTGACCCATCTTCCTGAGTAAGTGAACTAGCAAAAAACAAATCAGGCTTTTACATTTTCATACTAGAATGTCAACAATGGTTGTCCACAATTTGTTATCTAAAACATATGAATCCCTCTTCAATCAACAATAGGGAATACTGGCACTTAAGGCACTCACTGGATAATTCAACCATGAATTGATTTGATCCAGTACTTACCAAACCTCACTTGAGACAGCCGATACTTGAGAGAAACTTCTGAATGGGCATGTTAACTATTCAATCTTCTAAAACAAATTCTCTAAGCTCTATCATTTTGTTACCTCATTAGAATGCATCATAACTAAACCATATATTTGTCTTAACTCTTTATTTGGAAATAATTTCTAATTTACAGATAAATTACAAAAGTAAAAATACCACAATGAGCACTTGTACACCTTTACCCATATTTATCTACTGTTAACATTTTATACCCCAACTGCTTTATCAATTTTGCAATCATGAGTGTTCCCTCTCCTCCCACCCGCCCTCTCTTTACACACACATACACTTTTTCTTCCTGAATCTTTTGAGAAGAAATTAGACATCATGGCCTTTTACCCCTAAATACTTCAGAGTATATTTCCTATAAATAGGCATATTCTCTTACATAATTACACATAATAAATGTTAGCAAATCTAACACTGATAATTTTATCAAAGCTAAAGTAAGGATTCCAATTTTGTCAGTTGGCCTAGTAATTTCCTTAAAGCGTATTTTCTTTTCCAAAATTGGATTCAGTATAGAATCAGGCAATACATTTCGTTAACATGTCTCTTCAGCCTCCTATAGTCTAGAAAGTTTCCATAGCTTTTCATTGTCTTTTATGACATTGACATCATGTAAGACTAGCTCCCCACCCCCTTTTGAAAATTAAACATCCCTCATTTAATGTTTGTCTGACATTTCCTAATGATGAGATTGAGGTTACACATTCTTAGCTACAATAGTACATAGGTGGTCATGTGTCCTTCTCCAGGCATCACATCTGGAGGCACATGATTTGATTTCCATCTCTCCTTCATTGGTGATATTAACTTTGATCACCTGGTCAAGGTATTGTCCAACTTCTCTACTGTATAATTACTGTGCATTTTCTCCCTTGCAATTAATAAGTAGTCTATGGGGTAACACTTAAAAAACACTTAAAAACTATGTAAATATCCTGCTGGTCATCCAAATTTTCCTAGATTTTATATCCACTAATGATTCTAATCTGATCCAAAATTTATTATGATGGATGCAAAATGATGATTTCCAACTCTACAAGTCCCTTCACATTTACTAGTCAACCCTTGGCATTTTTCAGAAAGCAAAGTAAACCACATATGTTACCTTGCCACAGAAACTCAGATTCCCTAAGTTAAGATTCAATGTTAAAATCTTAGCTTTCATAGTTGGTTGATATACCTGAACATTTTCTAACTTTTGCAAATGTAAGATGAAAGTAACTATCACCTTATCCAATGTCCCATTGCAAAAAGAAGGGGAAAAGCATGTCTCTAAAAGTTATATGGTCCCTTTAACAGAGCATAACATGCCCCTTTCTGCTCTTTTCCAGAAAACAGAATTAAGTTTGGTGTTCAAACACAATGATTAATCCATCCCAGATGGCTGGTAATATTTATTTCTCTGTCCCTTTTTAAAGCCATCTCAAATTCCTTTGGGAAGGAGAACAAGGCACAATCAATTCATACACGTTAATAAACATATATGTGAGGGCATGAGAGGAAAACCTATTTTGTGGAAATACGTTGACAATATATTTCATATCTACTTTCAAATTACATTTGTTTGAACTATGAAATATTCTGTAGAATAATGAAATGTCTCAAATGAGGTGTATATTGAGTTCTGACCCTGACATCCCCTTCAAATGACTCGCAAAACTTTGCAATAGAAAGACTATTTATGTAAAGCATATATTAAAATGCCAATGCAAACATCTTGAATGTAAAGTTCAACAGTTAGATTTTCAATTCAAGATGACAGATGAAGCACACAAATATACCTTCCCGGACTCAAAACGGACCCACATTTATATGGGAATTCATTTTATAGTAAATGTGGCACTTCAAATCAATGGAAAAATATAGAATATCCACTGTCAAGAAAACTGCTTGGCTTGCTTGCCAGTGCTTTATTGAGGATTTTGTGTATATATTCATGAAAATCAGTCTATCATTTTCCTTCCTAGTATTGTGAATTACATGATTGGGTTATCAAGGTTACTGTAAGACACATTATATACATTAAAAATTTATAAGGCTGGGTTTACTTCTCCTTAAATGTTTGGTTTAACTCATTTGTAGCACTACCTGGGAATGGTAATTTTTGTTGAAAATGTTTAAAAATGACTTATTTTCTTTAATGTTAAAGGTGTCTTGAAATCTCTCTTTGTTCTTGAGTCAGTTTCACAAATTGCTCTAGAAA